TGCTCTGTCTGCTTCCTCTTTAGTCTGTCTTTGCTGTAGAGAGCTTGACAGCTCTGTGTGCTGTGGTTCATGTGTAGTCTCATGACACAAAAGGGTGAATGAGAAGCAAGTAGAAACACCTAGCAGCTCCTGGGGGTGCTCCTGAGATAGGTTTTAAAGCCACTGAGAAAAAAATGAAATAAAATAAATATGAAAAATTGCAAGTTGACAATACACAACCATCCTGAACTCTAACTTACCCATTTGCCTTCTGTAATTCATACACGTACAATTTCTGTTTTTCTGTAATAAACTAACACACTGCTTCACCAAATCTACCCAAGCCAAAACTTCTGATTTCCTTCAGTTATGGCCCTGGGATTAATAATTAATATTGAAGAAAGGCAAAAAAAAATTAGAAATTCTCAATAACAATTACAACCAGAACAGCTTGGAGGGCAGCATATAGACCAGTACTATGGACTTGTATTCACTTTTCTGGTTTTGAAGCACATTGATCATAATACAGTTTCTTAATACTAAAATTAAACTCAAGACATGAAAATATATATGTTCTGTTTAGCTTCATTAGATTCACTTTTATCAGTAAATCTATAAATCCTGTAACAGCTTTGGGCAAAAGCTTTCTTTTCAGGATATTGATATTGGGTTTATAAAAGCTCAGATGCTCAGCCCTAGTTCTGTCTTTCAGGTACCTGTGCCTTACAAGCATTGCTGGGGTCTGTCCTGGGTTTAGCAGTAGCAGTCAATTTTTCTCCTTCTTGGTAGCTGGTGCAGTGCTGTGTTTTGACTTTCAGCCTGGGAACAGAGCTGATAACACTGATGTTTTGGTTTGGCCAAGGACTTTGTGAGTCTCATGATCTGCCAGGGAAGAGGGGAAGCTGGGGGGAAGCAGAAACAGGACACCTGACCCAAACTGACCAAAGAGGTATTCCATACCACAGTACGTCATGCCCAGGATGTAACTGGAGAGTTACCCCGAAGGGTTGGTAGTCTGCAGGGTTGGAGGAGGTATCGGTCGATGCTTGGTCAGGCTGGGGGAGGGCAAGTTATTGGTTGGCTGGTGCTGAGGTGTTGTATTCTCTTCCCTTGTTATTTCCTTTATCACTGTTATTATTGGTGGTAGCAGTAGTGATTTGTGTTATACCTTAGTTACTAAACTGTTCTTATCTCAACCTGTGGGAGTTGCATTCTTTTCGATTCTCCTCTCCGTCCCTCCGGGAGTAGGGGGACGGAAAGAAGGGGGGGAGTGAGTGAACAAGCTGTCTGGCTGGGTTTAAACCACGACAGGGTCAAATAAGCCTGTCTGCTCCTATAAATTAATCATATTAGTTTTAGATCTTTGCAAATTTCCTAAGCTGAAAACAGAAAGAATAGTGAGGAAGTACTCTATTTTTCGTATTTAAAATTTTATAAACCTCCCTTCCTGCACAAAACCCAGAGCATCTTCATATGGCATATTAACACAACCTTATGCTGCTCATTAAACTATTTTGAATATTGAAAAAGCAACAGTTAGAAAAACAAGCAGAATATAACACAAAATATTATTAATATTTAACTCTATGGTGTTTAAAAAACTTTAAAATATATATTGTAGCTATTAGGATCATTTGCTTCACATTTTATGTATTTACAAGGGCTGAAACTTTGACTTGTGTTCAAGACTCATGAGATCCACCTGAAATAAATGGGCTCTTTGCCATCTTGCTTTCAACTGCAGAACATATTTGACGTGTCAGAATGACATAATGGATGCTCTATTGTAATACACTGCAGGCACTGATCAATTAAGAAAGCCTGATTTACATCGCAAGGCACTTCTGACCTGACACCACAACAAACATGGTGATTTTCTAGTACTAAACCACTTTTTTTTGGTGGAGCTCTTGGACAGCCCAGATGTAAGAGTGTAAAAATTATTCTTACAAAATAGGTAAGTTACTTGACCTTCCCTGTTACACTGTCCAAAGATAAAGCATTAAAAACAACTGCTGGGAAGAAGATACATTACAGCTTTGCCATGCCCATTCATCTATATCACACAGATGAACCATTTCCAATCAGGGACTAAGTTAAACATGAACTTGCTACGGAAGTTAAGATTCTAATGAAATGCCAGGTCATCACAGTATCAAAACCCAGGGAATTCTTTCATGTCTATGGCAAGAATTCCTCTGTTCCAAATAACAATACACCATAGATTTCATTTTCAAGGGTGTCTCTATTGAAATCTTCCATCTTTTCAGTACCCATTAGGTCTGTCTGAAATATATCACTATTCTTGGGATAGACAACTGCTTCCTAAAATGGGGAGCTGTGCTGTGGAAACAGAGGCTAGCAGTATTTGTTTACACTTGCTACAAACCATTTTGTTAATCTTCAGCAAGCATTGCTCCTAATATGATCACAGGCTGCCAAATGAAGCACTACATCCAGCCTCATTAGGTAAAATCTGGTTTCTTCTTCAGGCAGTACAATGAACAACCTCATTTGTTGCCAGGTTACTCCATCTCTAATTTCTTTTGCCAAAGGAAGTTGGAATTGGCATACATCTGAAGATGCCACAATGAAAATGGGTTGGCACAATTTTGTTGAGAAATTACTCCTTTTTTATGATGAATTTACAAGTCAATACAGTGAGTAGTGGCTTGTAAGGGATATGTTTCTGATATGTTTCTGCCTGTAACTAATATGCGGCTTCTCAGGATACTCCAAGAAACATCCCAGCCCCATCAAAGTGCATCTCTTAAGAATGGAGGGCAATACAGACAATCTTCTGAGTTTTTAATTAAATTCCTCCTACTGAATTGATAAAATTAAGAGCACTATATCTGAATGGCCACAGTTCCCATCAAAACAGTATTTGGTAAGTCATAAAAGATCCAGTGGTATTAGTGGTACCAGAAAACCACCTTTGAAAAGTGTTACTTTCAAAAACTCTTGTAACTCCAGAAAAGCATGTAAAACTTTGGATCAAGAGGCAACCTTCAGCAAAATGTTACATTTTATTCAGACTCTATTTTTCTACGGACACTATTTTTGGTACAAAGAGTTCTTTCCCTTGCAGGAGATGTATCTCAGACCTTTTGACCTTGCCAGGCAGTAGGAGAGAAAGCAGCCCCCCCACCTTTTTAAAAAAAAACAAACTAGGAACATACAGCAGGGATATGAGTAAGCATGTAACAAAGGTATGTTTTCAACCTCCTAAAGATACAGCAACTAAATCTACTTCATTAAAAGCGAGCTGTTCCTTTATATTCTTCCTCCCTATCCTGGCCAGTGGCAAAGTTGCATTATTATCCTATGAGTCATTCTTTCTTCAAAATATCTCTCTGGGTAGTACTTGTTAATTAAACTTTCTCATCCTCTCTTTCTTTCTCTTTCTCCCTTACAGTTGTTGGCAACAGTCTTGTATCCTCTCTTTTGAATAGACATCTATATGTAGTCTCCCATTATTAGAGTAGTAGGAAGGAACTGACTATCTTTTACCATGTGTGCCTGTCGAGCACACAATTACTAATTATATCAAGTATGCCTTGTGAGTGCTACTGGTGATTTAAATAGTACATTTTCTTCATCTCTTTAGGACAATGTCATCTATTGTACAATGTTTCTGTCTGATTCTTTGGTGGCATTTTAGCTAGTGAACTTGAAAAGTTCTTCAGTTTCATAAAGAAAAATGTGGAACATCTGTCCCTTTTCTGTGGATGTGACTCTGCAGCAGCTAAAATGGCCTGCTGTTCGGAAATGCAGAGTAGGAAATAAAATGTCATCTGAATACGCGGGGTAGTAATAGCCTGGTGGCAGTACCATAGCCAAAATCAATATTCATCAGAGTTGTATCTAGTAAAATCGTACATACTGATTTCTTAATTTCATTTTTTATGAAATGATAGGAAAATTTTTTTAAAGAACACAGGTTTGACTCCTGACCATACAAACATAGATATCTAATTCATGTTGAGTCTGTCCTACAAAATATATAGAGAAGTAACTGAGTCACCTGCGTACAAATGAAAGGATAATAGAGCTGCTATTCATATTTAGTGAAGCAAATTCACAGGGTGGCTCTGTAGATGGACAAGAAGTTACAGCTCATGTCTTTATCCTTAGTCATTCACTCATAGCTCAGTACAAAGTAACAGCTCTAGCTTCAAGCATGTGGCAGGATAGGGAAAGTAAAATAGGAATGAAGAGTAGTTGATGTACTGGAAGAGCAAGGTAAGCAGAGAGAAAGTCTGAGCAGAGTAACACCTAAAGCTGAAGCCAGACTTCCACTGTGGAGGCTGCTGTAGGAATTAATAATTAGAAAGAATGACAAGTCTACAATTAGGATCAAATGGGAAGGTATGAGAATTCAGAAACTGATTTAATGTAGGCCAAGGAAATTCTGACGCAAAACCAGTAAAATAGTCTATCCATTGGAAAATCAATCCAGACATCATCCAGAAAACCCTCGTTTTTGTAAGCAGACACAGAACAACACAGATTGCTGCACTCTGGGTAGCCATGACTGTCTCAGAGCTGATCTGGTAAATCCCTCAAAGTCCCTTCAAAACCTGTATTTCTATGGATTCAACAGTAAGCTAAAGATAAGGAGAATGGGCCATTATGTGTGTGATGTTTGATCTTTTTATTTCTGTCATGTCTGAACATCAAAAGCATTTGTTGGGACTGCAGTTGTCAAATTGTAAGCCAGCATGTGAAAACAGCTGTCTATCCTCAGCACCAACAAACACGAATAGATCTGTCATCGTAATTACAGCTCAGAGCTGGATTGTCTTCAAACATCAACAACAGTCTGCACTGTGAGCAATGTCAAATACGCCTGACTCAACTGGTTTAGGATCCATTTTTCTAGAGAGCATAATGACAGCCTTTCTCTTCTGTGAAAGGTTGCAAAAGTTTCTGTGTAATGAAGTCTGTTATCTTTCATGTTAAATATTTCATTACCTGCTAAAAGAAATCATTCTAGAAATAAAAAAATGATTTACACATTTAATAAAATGATTATGCCGTTTATTTATGTGCATATAATTTTAACTTGATTACACTCCAGCATTCTTGTTTCCTTATTACAGCAGTAACTGTCTTCTGATATTGCTTCATGGATCTCTCACAAATGTTTACTTAGATACATACAGTAACTCAAGGGGGTTATGTTGGAATATTGAGATTTTCTTCCCAAAAGAACTGTACATTGGTAAGAAGTGACTGAGAGATGTCTGGAAGTATCTCCTGATTTAGCAGCGGCCTAGACAAAACAGATTTGGGAATTTTATTAAAAATTAAATTCTCTAATGTACATATCACACTGTCAGCATAGCTGGTCAGCAAATTTAACATGAATATTACACTTCTCTGCATATCATTGACAATATGAAAAGGATACAGGTTTTTTTAGAGGAAGAGAGCTAGAGACAGTAATTTCCCTTGGGACACAGAGAAACAGGAACCAAAAATATGACTTGGAACCAATTCCCAGTCTTTCTTCTGAAGCAGACCTGTGGGAGTGACCTGTCTATTAACTTTCCCCAGGAAAGCAGATTACAGTCTTCAGAAGTGTAGATGATAACCTGCCATTTTGAAATGGTAACTTCTAATATTTGTTCTCTAAGCATATAGTTTCACTTGAGTCTGGCTATTTCTTCATAGTCAAGGCTCAACAACAGGCAAACCAAGGATATTCCGCTTTCCCATCATGCATTGCTTCCACATTCCATAATTATTTTAATTATCATAACTGTCTGGCATACAATAAAAGTACAAAAACATTTCAGTAAAGTAAAACCATTAAGCAACTGGAATTGCAGGTCACCAATTCTGTTATCCGTAGAAATCAAACTGACTGGCTGGAGGCAAAGACTTCTGCCTCTCAAAATCTTCTAGCCCAAAGATTTCACATGAAACTTTGTTAAATGTGCACTTTCATGGCAAACGGTGGTATTTTCAACAGAGAAAGTATACTACTTCTGAATTACTATATGGAGTCATAATCTAAAAGAAGTAGCCATACTTCTGAAAGAAGCAAGCATAAGAGATGGAGAAGAATGCAAGAAAGGGAAAGGAAGGGAGGCTACATTTGGCTGGTAATTCAGTAAAAGAATAAATAAAAAGAGGAATTTCACGTCCATCATCCCAGCACCTACATACTAAATGCCTTGATAGAGTTAAGTCTATACTTGCAGTTAGTGACATAAAAGATGTGCAGTCACAGAACAATCTTAGGATCACTCCAGTTAGAAGGGACCTCAGCAGCACTTCTGCCCTATCTTCCTGCTGAAATTCCAATGCATATGCTCAGTTTGATTCTATTTTTATGGACGTGCATGCTCCTGAAAACATAAAGTATGTTCCGTTTAAATTTTTGATTAGAAAATACATTATTGTGATATTCTGAATATTTTTCCCCTTGAAATCATCTGAAGCAGTTTACCAAGAGAATTTGTAAAGGTCTTAAAAGTTGGACATTGTACAGTAACACACTTAAATTGAAAAGTACTGGTAACAGAGAATTACCAATGGAGTAAGTGAGGGGCACTGAAATAAAATCTGGTGATGATTCCTCTCTTAGCTTCAGGTTGCAGGGTATGAGTTCAAGCCTAAAGTTCAATATTATTGTAATTTCACTTTTCATCCCTCTGTCCCTGGTGAACTCAGCTGCACATGCACACTTGGTGCCTGGATATGGGAACCAAAGACAGGCAGGAAAGCTGTCTGTTAAACATAAACCACAATGTAATCTCAGCATGGGTTACATCCTTTCGTTTTCAAGTTTTCTCCATAATTTACAGGTTAGAAAGAGAGAATCAAGTTGTACCAGTCCAGGATCTACTTCCAACTGATGATGCAAGTTGTGGGAAGGGAAGAATGAAATATTAAGTACCTTTTACACATTCAGGGTACTCCAGAACCATGCTGATCAAGGGAAAGTGATTCTTTTTTAGGTTTGTTTTCCAAACAAAGAACTTGCATTTCAAAGAGGCATTCTGGTATAATACAGCATTGTTCCCCATGACTAAGGTTTGCAGAATCTCTTTCAAATTTCACACAAGTATATGAGAGGACTGTGCAAAGAACAGAGGATGAAATACACTATCACAGATCTACCAGTGATGATTTTAAAATCAAAAAGAATCATGTTATTTGTAGACATGAAGCTGAGCTAAGGGAAGGCCTGTGAGAATTAAAATAGCTATTGTTTGAGATATAATACGCCACAATCCCCACTTATGCTTGTGCAACCCAGCAAGAATAGACAGATATCCTCAAGAAAGAACTTCCAAAACCCACTCTTTTGTGCCAGCTGTAGAGAGAAAGGAAGGGAGGGGACATGTTTCGATTCCAACATGACTAGATGGCGAATAGCAACTGTGAGAGCCACTAACATTTCTTATTCTCTTTAATCACATTTGCAATAATGTTGCAAAAGGTGATAACCACCAAAAAATTAAAGGCTTGTCTAAAGAAGTGGTGATTCACAAAGAATTGAATACACAAAACCTGGTTTGAGTCTGAGTCATGTGGAGCTCAGTGTACTACTGAATTTTGCCAAAGGCAATTGTAATAATGTTGAAAAAGATTAAATTTTTAAATATGATTAAACTCATTAAGAACCTGTTTTGAAGCCTAAGTGATGTGGCAGTCAGGAAGAGGTTTGGATGCAACTGTGTGTCATACCGATTTCACTTGAAAAACTGCTCTCCAAAAACTTGAGTTGCACTCTGTGGTTAGGAAAATGAGCTAAACTGGTTTCCCAGTGCAGTATGCCTCTAAAAGTGAGAAAGTTCACTGACCCGTAAATGCTTGCTGTAGCGCCTTTGCAAGTCCTATCTCCTGTCAACCATGTAATAACCTGAGACTATATTTGAAACTGATAGGGAATGAAACTGAGAAGGAGGATTAAACATGAAGCTTTCCAGTTTAAAAGTTGTCAGAAGCTTGTCAATAGGAAGTTATATATGTGGGATGAGCCACATTCTGGAAGCGTCATTTTCTCATCACTTTGTATACAGCTTATTTAGATTATACAACAACTTCTACGTGCTTATACATAGATGTGAGGATTCCCACTTAGAGAAAACAGAAGATAATTAGAAAATGAGAGAAACTCATCACTTCTTATTTGTAAGAAACACCACTGTGACATTCCATTAGAGTTTCTACTTCCCCCAGTAAAGCTCATGAGCTCTGGTCTTCAACTAAACAATTCCAGTTTTCCTGCTTTTTGGTAAAAAGCTTGTGAATTATTCAGAATTATTCTTTTCCTTACTGCTGCTGAAGAAGCAGACCCTGCAAGTTATCCTTAACTAAAACAGTCTGCACTTGCCTGTAATATTTACATCTGCATTTGAGGCTTCGGCTAATAAAGCTGGTCATTGTAATTTATTTCCAACAAGATTTAAAATAAGACATGGATTTCCTCCCACAGTTGACAAAGGAAACCTTTTTTAAACCAAGGTTAGAAATAACCAGTTACCTTCCTAAGCCATAGACAGTAAAAGAGGTATCACCGTAAAACAAGTCGATCATTTTTTTCCCCCATGTAAAGTAACATGTCTGTTAACTAGGAATCTGTTTTTTGAAAGGGTTTTTTTTAGTTTTTTTTTTTCCTAAGGGAACTGAAATTTCAACATTTTCAACAGTTTCCCTGGAAGGCTCATTATTTCTCATTCCCTAAAAATTAAGGAAAATTATACAGATCAGCAAGTTTTTTGCTTTAACAGCATTCATATAATTTCTTCTAGAAAAAAAAATAGGAGATGTGCAGTGGTCCTCAGGTTTCATACTTGGAATTCTCAATGTACCTGTCAAATTGTTAATCTGACCTTTGGAGTCTAACCTTAATATTCTGACCATAATTATTATTAGGGGGTTACCTTCATTTTCCCTGAATGTATTAGTGAATCTCTCAGGAGGTGAAATACCCTTTTTCAGAAGCCCAGCCCCAGTTATATTTAAATGTAAAATATTATACACATTCACAGGGTTGTTATTTTTTTAATGGACCCTAAATTAATAGAGCAACAGTTGACAACTTATTCATAGAGTCAAAAATCTGAGGTAGCATCAAACTGACAGCCACCAAGTTCATACCACCCTTTCTTCAAGGCAAAATTGATGTAAATTTCTAGCCTTGAGATTTTTCAAACTCTAAAGACTTTATACCTATACATTCTTACTTTAGGGATCGTTATACCATTTCTAAAAACTTGTGACCTAACAAAGTGTGGTGAAAAACGTGTGGTTAATATGTAACTGCTTTGTGTAACACTAGGGAAACTTTTGGGAAGTTCTGATCTAATCAATGGCTACCCTTCCATGGTTTTCACTGGAAATCAGATAAAGCCAAAGGCAGAAGAGCATATCCAGCAATCTTATATCCATATTTTAGTACTTTTTTCTAGCTCAGTTCAGCTCTGCCTGTAGTTACAGTATCCCATGAGTTTCAGTATGTTACAATGCACTTTCAATGCACTGAAGGAATAAAATATGATTAAGTGTGCATTGCTGAACTAGGGCCAAAAAATATACAAATCAAAAATCAATAGTTCTATTCAGTTTTCTCTGGGACAGTACTTTCAAGGAAAATGTTCAAGCTAGTGCACTCTAACTAACTATTTAACCTCTAATAAACAAAAATTTGTTATATAGAATAGGCCTCCAAACAGAAGATCACACTGATGCCAAAAAGGTTGGACACACCTGCAAAGGAAATTTTCTACTTTCATACACAGTTCCATATAGTGTTAACATCTTAATGCTGACCTTATGCAAATAACCGTCTTTTACAGTGCTTCATTTAGCTCTACAATAAGCCCCAGGTTTCCTAAATATGTTAAGGACAAAATCCCACCATTTTACCAATTCAAAAGACAACATGTTTCTTTCTGCTTCGAGTGAAATTATTCCTTAGCTGTTACATATAATTACATAACAAATCCTGAACTGTGTATGTGCACCTCCTGCCAAAATCTGACGTATATTCAGAACAAGACATTTCTGTACCCCAAGCTTCTAAAGAGCCAGAGACTGCTTGCTGGGGGTAGTTCCTCACTTTTGCTTTGTGTAACATCAAAATAGTAATAATCAAAGCCTACTGATTTAAGAGACACCATGATGTAACATACAGTGTGCATACACAGGTTTTCTATTTGTTGCTCCCAGGACTGATTTTGTATTTTACACAAATTCTCTATTTCATGTCAGTAGAGGTTTCATCCAGAAAGCAGCTATGGCACCCAGCCTCTTTTCTCAAAGTGAATGTTCCTAGCACTGCACTAAGCAGACCGTCTCCTTTTTGAATACTTATTCTCTCTCACTTTCATTTACAACAAAAGAGATCTCCACTTATAGGTCATTAGCATGAGTGGGAGAGTGCTGTTGTTCAAAACAGATACCAGCCAAGTTCTGGCTGCCTGCTTTGCAGAAGCTGGATACCTACACCTGATGTAAAAATTACACCTGCACAACTTTCTACCTGAATGAGTGTACCAAACAGCAGACTTACAAATTGAGGACCATCAGGTAAAAAAAGGAAAGGCTGTGAAAAGAGCTCAGTTCTTTGAAAGAAAATAGCTACCATTTGTGCAGTTTTACCCTGTATAATCCTCCTTGTAACCCTGACAGAAATGCCACTAAAATGAACAAAATTTCAGAAGCTACTCTGTCCTTCACATTTCCTTTAGTAGCTGGAGCAGGTCCCACACTGTGATTCTGCCTAATCTCCTTCACTGTGCTATGATGCAAAACATAGCATTCTGCATTCCATTTATAGTTAAAGGTTAGGGCCTGCAGTCTTTAAATGTTTAAATACTTCTCGATATTGGTTGCACTTCTGTAAATCACTTTCTTTTATTCTTTATCTTTTCGGATACAACAAATAATGAACAGATGTCAGTGAATGAATGATGTTCTTTAATGGTGCCAAAGCCTACCTGATCAGGCAAAAAGCCTGAATCATCTTCATATTAAACCTGACATTCTCTTGCACATTGTAGTGAAGGAAGCATTTTTCTTACCTGCCCTCCAGTCCAACAGAGAGCTTAGGAAGGGTATGCAGCACACAGTGCTGTGACAAAAGTAAGGTGGAATATATCAATGGAACCAGAAGCAAAAGCAACTCACGGTGCTGATTCCATCATAGATGCCAACTCAAAAGGCTGCAGTTCAGGAGTCTGGAAAAAAAAGCTGGCTATTCCACAAGCTGTTTTGTCCCATACCTCATGGCTGCATGACAGTAATTTAGGAATTCTTGATGTGAAAGTTTGTCAGATGCATATTCCAGGCAATACCTCCTCCCCCTCGTTGAATCATACAGGCTGTGTCCTAATCAAATTATATTTTTGAAGTGTTTCCTCACTGAATCCCACAAGATTGTTTCTCATATTTTCCCCCACACCTGCTTTTTAAACTAACTATCCCAAGGCTGCCAGCAGAGCCTTCTTTCTTCTCTCTCTCCTTTTACCCCCACTTTCTTTTTTTTTGGAGGAGGGAGGCAGGGAGGAAGAGAGTCATTGAGTTACGTTCATCATTGTTCAGTCCTTCACAATCTGCCCTATAAGATGATAATACCCAAAAATATCAGGAAGGCCAACACCTGTCATTTCAGGCTTATGCCCACTTTGTTGTTTCAGTTTTTGGTGTTTTTTTTTTTTTCTTATATGGCTGAGAAGGAGGAGGTGTCATCTATTAAAGGCAAGAAAACACTTGTGTTCACATCTATTGTGTCCTGTTGGACTGGAGCTGGCCTTCCCTGATATTTCTGAGGAGGCTCATTGACCTCTGCCAGCAAATACAATTGGATGCTCCACCCTACAGCCCAGGGAGAGGCAGCTTGCTGGGGATCAGCACAGTAGTGACATGGAATCTTTCACCTAAGCTGCTGCCGTTTGCTTCCTCATCATTACTCAGTGATTACACACAAGAACAAAACATTATGTCCTTGGCTGCCCACCAGCTACCCCTGCTTATCACAAGACAGTTACATCATACCCTGTTTTTTATTTACAAAGGACTCACTGTTGTCTTTTGAATTATTTCCAGTTGTATTCCAAGAGTTGTTCTCTGCGCATTGTAATAACCATGTACCACCTGTTTCCTCACAAACTGACTTGCAGGGGACATTTATTTCACTTGTGCCCAACCATTTCCTAAATCAGGCCTCACTGCTGGGCCACAGCTAGTGCTTTTTAGAACTTCTTATGCTCTAACAATATAAAGCAGCTGATAACAGTTGGTTGCCCAGATCTGCATCCTCAGTTCTCCTATAGTTCTGGCCTATAAGTTAAAGGGGAGGACATGATCATGGGAAGAGAGGATTAGGGAAGGCTAAAATGCAGCTGTAGAGGCAATAGCCTTGCAGGATTCAGTACACAAACAGCGTCATGTAATTTGAGCAGGACACATTCACTGCATTGAACACAGCAGGGAGAAGGCATTACTTGGCCCCTGGGACCATGCAGCAGAGGGAACAGGTGATGTACAAGTTAAGGCAAAGTTAGGATTGCTTTTATTAATATTTGGGCTTGAACTACTATCCAGCAAGTTTCACGCCCTGGGAAAATCAGACTGAAAGAGGGGAAAATTACATTAGATATTAGACAAAAATTCAATATGAGAATGGTGAGACACTGACAGGGAAGTTGGAACGAGATGATCTTTAAGGTCTCTTCCAACCCTACCCATTCTATGGATCTGTGATTCCCTAGCAGAGCACTGATCACAGTCAGTCTCTCAGTAAACATGCCTAAACCCACCTATTACTACTGACAGCTGGTTTGCAGCTGCCACTTCAGCTAAGGCTGGTGCCACCTCCTTCTCTTTCTCAGCACAAATCAGTATTCCTTTGTAGAAATGTACCATACAGACGATAGATCATATTGTTCCAACAAATCATGAGGTCTTAGCTCTTGCACTTATACTCTTAGCAGCTATAGGATTTCAGAGATGAGCTGAAATCCTATATTTCTTTCCTAAGCACAAATACTAACAAGTTATCTGAAAACCCTAATTGTCACAGAACACATGACAACAATCCCAGTATCTCTGTGTGACAAAAACAATGCAAATAAAGGAAGAAAGATACATATTGCACAGAGCACACTTAAGAGGAACTGGCAGCTTCATTGAAAACTTCGCATATTCTTTATCAGTTACTTAAAAACAAGCTGTGCACAAACTGAGGCAGCCTGGGGATTTAATTGCCACATTTATTTTTAAAAGAAGTTCCATCTAAGATGACATATGAGACACAACAAAATGTCAATCATTATTTCAAGCCAAAGAACTAGATTTTAATAGGAATTGATCGGAGGAAGGTGGAAAGGGGTTTTGAATACATTCTGAAGTGGTTTTGTAATATATACATGGCAAAAGGCACATGATAAATCTGAAATAATTAGGTATATACATTCCTAATGTGAATATTGTCTAGGAGTCAAAACCTGTAGTGACCTTCATTAGATGCCCTCTGTATTTCCACTGCACTTTCCTCACGTTCTCCAGGTGCAGAGTCTGGGTGTAGGCCTCAGCAATGCAATTATACAGGGACTATACAACCTGCTTCACCATGGGATGGGAAACATTTGGGGCATAGCCTGATATTAGACAGCTAGTTTCTTTGATTGAGAAGTCTTTAGTAAGACAGATTCCTGGTAAGGATAATGCAAAAATGTGAAAGAAGAAAAATGTGTATGTTTCAGATAAGGTTTTTTAGCCTTTGCACCTTCACAGTTAGGCACATTGTTAGAGCTCATTTAGTAGCTACACTGTGAAGATGACTTCTGGGCTTCCTGTGCATTGAAGCTGTGCTGCCAGAACTTGTAGAGACTCTGTTGTCTCATCTAGTCGTCAGCACAGACCTTAGGTATGCTGTCCTCACCACTGGTAAGAAACAAATTAAACAGGTCAATGGAAATTTTCCAAAATAAACCTTTGTCTGGACATAATGGATGGTACTTGGGAAAGCTCAGTTAGATTTGTGGGCTGCTGCATAGCCTTGACAAGAAACTCGGTCTATCCAGAGCACCACCTGAATCTATCTGCATGAGAGTATAATGGCATTTTTCTCCTTCTCTGGAGCTTTTTAGAGATAAAATCCAGGAGGGGTACCAAGGTGTTACTACAATAAGGCAACAAAATACTATGCACATGATAGCAAAAGATATACGTCAGCTGGACTTTTACCCTAGTTCGGCAGCCTAAACTGAGCTTAAATGATTGACCATTTTTCCATTTAATTTACCTTATGCTCAGAATCCACCATGTATCTCAATTTGGTAAGCATTAAGAATCACAGTGCACAGCTTCCCAGCCTTCTACATCCTGTTGCAGATGTATATAGTTTATCCTCATCCCAGTAATCGTTCTGTGTCTCTTTGATCTAGTTTAGTTTTGCCACACCTCCCTCACAGGACATATTTACATCATGCTTAAATCCTACCAGGGGCATCTGTACCCAGAGCAAGATAAGTCCTCCCAAAAATTCCAAATTCTTAATTACCATTACTGATATCAGTAAAAGTACAGATACACGTACATTCATCCTGGTCTTTGGTTATCAAACTGAAAGTGAATAGAAGGGAAAGCTAGTGAGACTGGTCAGTTCACCAGCTGGATTATATTACAACTGTTTCTAAAAAGCTGAAATAGGGACAGGCAAGAAAGCAGTGTCAGGGATATTAAGTAGATGCTAAAGAACCAGTTAGGCATATCCAGGCTAGATATGCAGAGACTGTGAGACTATCCAATAGCAGGGACAGAAGCAGAGAAGAGGGGAAGACTAGACAGAGATGGGAAAACAGCTGTTTAAATTACTGTTCATTGACAGTAAGAGGAGACATGTCATCTGGGCTACTGAAACTGCACCACAGTTAACAGCCAGCCAGATAACGTGAAGAGATATTGACAGTTCCTGGACAGGTATGCTTGGAGAAAAATCTGTGCATATCTTAAAAAGAAAATTAATAAAACTTATGATGAAAAGATTCACTGGTCTAGTTTCATTAACAAACAGTGAGAAAAAAACATTTTGTGTGAGTGTACAGAATAACAGAACTAAGTGGAACAACAACTTGAACAAGAGAATATGAAAAAACGTAAGTTAAGGCAAATTGCACAAAATCCTTATAGAGAGGGTTATTTCCTCCACTGCTACTGCCCACCTCCCTACATCACTAACCACTACAAATGCCATCATCAAGCTACAAGCACGTGTGCAATATACTACCTACCCCCAGTCTGAGCATGTGTGTCCAGCAAAAGCTATTCTAGAATACATGAGGAGGGCAAATACTGAGAAGGACTACTGTGTAGAAACCAGGATTAAAAACTGTGTGTTCCTGCCTCAGTTGCCATGCTCAGTCCACTCTACTATGCTGCCTCCTTCTGAGTTATTACATCACTCTATGCATCCTTGAGGCAAGTTATATCATTGAATTAACATTTGTATATTTATACCTCTTCTAAAAATACCTGTAAACATATGTGTATAAATACTGTATCCCACCTGCCCATCAGCCCCAGTCACCTCCCACCTCCTGCTCACTAATAGCACAGTCCTGCATCACCTCCCACTCAGCTAAGCAATCCTGTGCTAGCTGCTTTCGACATACCCACAGCTATATATATATTTATGAGCACGATAAAACCCTTGTTCAAAGTAAAGATATCATCTTTTTTGCAAGAGTTACAATGCATTTTAGAGTCACTGTGATGCTCTGGGTTTTTTACACTGTTTTGTGCTACATTTACATATACGTGTAGGTCTTTGCAATTCATCTAGTTTGAAAAAGTATATACAACTCAGACTAAAAAACCCCCACAACCAGCCATGTTTATGTAGGCAAAAGTATTTTTTCTAGCACAACAATTAAATCTTGATAGTGCTGAATTACCAACAGATATTAAAAAAAAAGCAAACACAAGTACGTTTTATTGTATAAAGATAGACTTCACAGAACAACTCTATTCTTCTGTAAAAGACAGTTTTTTGATTACTTGTATTCTATACATTCTGTATCAGTGGCTAAATGCAACCCTGGTTAGGAATTCCTAGTGTTACTATGCCATCTATCCATTCTTGGTACAGTGCAGATGATACATTCCAAAATCTATCATAGCATGATTTCCACATGATGGAAATTTTCAGTTTTCTTTTGCTTTTCTTGTGAGACTCTTCAGTTGTGCAGTATTTCATCTCACTGCAAAGAGTATTTCATGTTTCAAGGTGATTTTCATTGCTCAATTTCATCCAACCATTCTAAAATAAAAATTTCCCTATCTTGGTATTTGCCCTTTTCAAATATGCTAACAAATATCATAACCTTTTTGCTCCATTCTTTCTATTTGGCCAAGTTATACATAGCAATTTCTTTTCATGGTCAGTCAATTGCCTTAATCTCTAACTTGTCTCTAGGGGATTGAATTCAGGCTTAATGTGGGGTCTGGGGTATTCCTTCAATTCAGAGATTTAAGCGTTCCTATTCTTGTGGATTTAAAAGGTGGTTCATGGGGTATATCTGCAAATATGAGTTTATAAAACTCTCAATGTGGGTTAGCCTTGAGATCCTCTTAGAAAAGTTTGCAAATGTATGTGGGCTACAACTTTTATTACATGGATTTACTTGGTGCAAAATTGTGCTCTTTATAAGGAGTTTAATGAACTCCCTATGACTGATGGACTGGCAATTGCTGCTAGCCTGACCATGACGTGAATGCTCTGATCAAGAGGTCTTACTCCCACTCGTCTAGACCACCTTTTTAGTGTCCCCACAGTACATGAGAAGTACCCAGAATATTTCTGGAGGGTCAAAATTCAAGCTGAGGACCGAAATTTTCAGAGAATCAGACACTGATGTATACCTGCTAAGTTGTACTTTTTGGGTTTTGACAGGGGCAGGGGGGAACTTCACCCTGAAGTTCCATGGCCTGAAGTGGCCATTCCCCTTTAGCAGTCTTACTGGCAGCGTATGATGTGACATGCAGTATATTCTAGGCAGGAATGACTCCTTACAAGAGCAACTTCTCTTGGCATGCAAAAGAAAAGTATACCTCAACTTTTAACACTCTATACCTAATAACCTTAAAATATCTAAATGTTTGTTTTCTGAGAACAAGACTGGGGTTATACCAGTATCTCT